CCGGCCACCTGCCCCCCCCCACTGCCCCGGATGCCTGGGTCCCGTTCTCTGTTGTGTGTCCCCCCACCCCCCACACTTGAGATCTTGTTATCTGTGTCCTCCCAGACACCTGGGCCCCTGTCATGTCCAGGCCTCCCCACCCCACACATGTTCTCTCTGTACTGCCCTGCGTGCCTGCGTCCTTCAGACACCTGGGTCCATGGCTCCCCCTGACTCCTGGCCCCTTGTCATTCACCCGTCCCCCCCCCCAAATGCCTGTTTTCATGTTCCCCTACTACTGCCCCCCCCATATCTGGGTCTCTATCCTCCCCCCCCAGCACCTGGGTCCTTTTTCTCTCGGTCCCCAGACACCTGGGTCCGTGCTCCTGTTCCCCCTCCATGCCTGGGTCCCTCTCATCTGCCCCCCACCATGCTTGAGACCCTGTTCTCCCCCCCTGCCCCAGACACCTGGGTCCCTATCATCCATCTTCTCCCCTCCTCCCCAGATCCTGGCTCCCTCTCATCTGCCCCCTCCCCCAACACTTGGGTCCGTGCCTCCCTACGGCCCTGTCTACATTTCTCACTACCCCGAAAGTCTGAGTCCCTGCCCCCGCCTCCCCATGCTTGTCCAGACTCTTGGGTCTCTGTTTTGGAGAGGAGCTGGGCACCAGCCACTGCTTTTTGGGGGGATCCAGGGTTTAGGGGGGATGTTCTGGCTCTGGCTGTGGGGGCTTGGGAGGGGACCTGCTTTGTGGGGGGGGGCACTGGGCTCACACCCCCCACCCCCATATGGTAGAGGCAGCTGTCAGCTTGTCCTGGTTTTTCCAGGGCACCTTCGCCGGCTGCTTTGTGACCCATTTTGGGTTCCTGGCAGCTGGGGAGGGCAGCCAAGGAGGAGGTCTGGTCTTGACCCAAGGGGGTGGGGAAGGCTGGGACCCTGCTCCTTCCTCTGTGCTCAGCTCCATGCCTCAGTTTTCCCGGTTGTGTTATGGGGGGCACCTGAGGCTCTGGAGAGGGTGCCCCTGGGAGCAGGTCCTTCCCAGGTGGAGGTTGGGTGGCATCTGACCAGAAGCCTCTGGGGGCTGTACATACAGCACTTGGCATGGCATGGCCCAGTCCTGCATGGGGGCAGGCATGCTGGCTCAGATGTACAATACCTGGCACCCTGGGGCGGGTACATTGGCTGCCGTCCAGCCTCATTGGGGCGATGTCCTTAACAAGCATTCAGCGGTAGGCAGGGAAACTGAGGCATGGAGCATGAGTGGGTGGCATGGAAACTGAGGCACAGAGTATAACCAGCATCCAGAGCATAATGAGCATCCAGCGGGTGGTGGGGAAACTGAGGCACGGAGCCCCATCCCCCTCCAGAGCCCAGTGAGCACCACCAAAGGGCTTATGGGGTCCTTAAAGGGCCAGCAACTCGCTGGGAAACAGGCCCTTCTGGCCTTTCAGGGATGTGGCGCAACGAGCAACATGTACAGCACCGGGGTCGGGGTGGCTGGAGCTAGCCTTCTTCCAGGGGGCAGACCCTGCATGGCTTTGTGCTTACTGGGGGGGGTCTCAGAGGTCGGTCTGGGGGCATTTCTGGACCCCCCTGGGCACTTGTGGCTGCAGCGTGATCAGCTCCAAGTGTGCTAGGTATGGGAGGCGTGAGCCTGCCTCCTACCACTGGGCAGAGCCCGTGTGGTATCGTGGATACATGGGTGGGGCACAGAGCTGGGACCCCCAATGTATCTGGAATGAGTCACATACGGCTCCAAGTGTGCTTGGCACAGAATGGCCAGATCCTACCTGCATCCCGGTGGATAGATCCTGTGTGCCATCATGGGTACCTGGGTGGGGCATAAAGCCAGGGAGGGGGTTACTGAGAAACACCCCACTGTGCCCGGAGTGGGGTCAACCCCGAGTCGCACGTACAGCTCCAAGTGTGCTGGGCACAGGACAACCTGATCCTGCCTCCATCTGGAGGGGCAGAGCCTGTGTGACGTTGTGGGTGCCCAGTGGGGGCACAGCCAGGCTAGGACATGCTGTGTGATCCCCCTGTGTGGCTGCAGTGAGATCAGCTCCATGTACAGCTCCAAGCACACCAGCCACAGGGTGGCCTGATCCTGCTTCCTTCTAGTGGGCAGAGCCTACTTGGCAGTGTGGGTACCCAGGATAGTCACAGAACTGGGGTGGGGGACCCTGAGAGATGCCCCCCCTATGTACCTGGACTGGGATCAGCCCCGAGTTGCACCTACAGCTCTGAGTGCACTGAACACAGGGCGCTTAATCCTGTCTCCTGGCAGTGGGCAGAGCCTGTTTGACTGTGGTTACCTGGTGGGGGGGTCTACAGGGCCTTGAGGGGACCCTCATGTGTCTGGAGTGGGATAAGCAATGAGCTGCCTGTATGGGTCTGTGTGTGCCAGGCACAGGCCTGCCTCATCCTGCCTCCGTTTGTGCCCCCCATCCTGCTCCGTTTGTATGTGGCATCATGGGTGCCCAGCGGGAGCACAGAGCCAGGGTAGGAGGTGCGGTGCAGAGTGACCCCCTGTGCAGCTGTGGTGACATCAGCTCCATGTACAGCTCTGAGCACACGGGGTGCAGAGTGGCCTGATCCTGCTTCCTTTCACTGGGCGGAGCCAGCATGACATCACGGTTACCTGGTGGAGTCACAGAGCGGGGTGGGGGGCACTGTGGGGATTTCCCCCCCCACTTTCCCCATGTGCCTGGAATGGGATCAGCCCCAAGTTGCACATAAAGGTCTGAGCGCACTGTGCATGGGATGGCCTGATCCTTCCTCTCTGTGGGGGGGGGCAGAGCCTGTGTAGCATCCCTGGTGGGGACAGGGGGCACAGAGCCGTGGTAGGAGGTGCTGAGTACCCCCTGTGCAGTCATAGTAAAATCAGCTCCACAGGCTTGCCTGATCTTGCTTCCTTTCAGAGGGCAGAGCTTGTGTGGTGTCTTGGTTACAGGGGTCACAGAGCTGAGGTGGGGGGCCCTGAGGGGGACCCCCGATGTGCCTGGAGTAGGATCAGCAGTGAATACCATGTACAGCTCTAAGGATGCCAGGCACAGGGTGGCCTGATTCTGCCTCCGTTTGGGGAGACAGAGCCTGTGTGGCATCATGGGTACCCTGAGGGGTCACAGCCAGGGTAGGAGATGCTGAGTAACCCCCTGTGTGCGTGTAGTGACATCAGCTCCATGTACAGCTCTGAGCGTGCTAGGCATGGGGTGGGGTGCTGGGCATGGGGGGGGGGCACAATCCTGCCTCCAACCCCTGGGCAGAGCCTACATGGCATTGTGGGTCCCTGAGAGGGGCACAGAGCCAGGGTGGGGGGCCCTGAAGGGACACCCCCCCTCCAATGTGCCTGGACTATGATCAGCCTCAAGTTGCATATACAGCTCTGGGCGTGCTGGGCATAGGCCAGCCTGATCCTGCCTCCATTGCAGAGGGCAGAGCCCGTGTGGCATCCTGGGTACGCGGGGGGGGCACATGTGCCTGGGGTGGGGTCAGCCTCAGCTGCTCAGAGGCACATCCAGCTCTGAGCACACCAGTGGGGAGGGAGGGGGACCTGGGACCCGGGTTGGAGGTTGCGCCAGGCCAGGCAGGATGGGAAGGGGGGGGCCTATTAATAGCCCCAGTTCCTGGAAGGCCATGGCCGGGTGGGTATTTTTGGCTCCCTTTCCCCCCCCCTCCCCCCCACTCCCACTTGGTTTGGGCATGGCGGGCAGCCCTAGCAACACGGCGCTGCCTTGCCATTGGCTCCCGGCGCCACCCGCCGGCCAATGGGGAGCTTGTTGCCATGGCAGGGAGAGGCCATTCCCCCGCAAGGGATCGGGCCGCGCCCCCCCACTCCCTTCCAGGCTTTGGGGACGGGTAAGGGGGGGCTCCCAGTCTGCCCCAGTTGTCCCCTCAGAACTGGGCTGATACATCCAGGGAGCCCTCAGCCCCTTCCTATATCCCATCTTGTTGGAGGTGCATAGGAGCACACCTTGCCGGGGTTGTTTGACCCCAGCACTCTTTACTGCCATGGCAGGGGTCGGACTTGATGATCTGCTCAGGTCCCTCCCGACCCTACCAACTATGAAACTATAAGCTGACACCCCCC